CAACAATTTTATTTTATAAAATTTATAATTTTAATTTATTATTAAATATTTATCTATTAATAATTAAAATTATAATATTGATTATAATTTTATGATCTTACATAAAGTAAATGATATAATTATTAATATTTAATGTGGAGTAATATTTAGATTAAACTTTTTTAATCCTCATTTTTATTTCATTAATTTTACAATTTTTATGAAATAAAATAGAAACTAAAAATATACTTTAACTTATATATTATTAGATAATAATAATTATTTTGTCATTTACTTAATATTATATTATGAACAAAATTTTAAAAATATAAATATTAGTCCAATCCAAATTATAAAATTAAAAGTTGAGATATAAAATTGCGAATTGGACATTATAATCCATGTTTATTATATATAAATAAATTTGTAAAAAATTATCTATATATATATATATTATGTTTAAATATATGAATTATATTTAAAAAATTTATAAATAAAAATATTTAAACATATAAATTATATTTTAAATTTATAATAAATAATTTATATTCTAACTAATGTTTTTAAAACTGGATTAGTCATTGAACCAATTTAGATACAGTTACAATGTTCAAGAGTTCAATGTGGTTGAACAGTGATTAAACCAATATAAATAAAATAATAATTATTATTATCAATACAAAATTAATATTAAATAAATATAATATTAATTTTATAGTACTAAAAATTAAAATAAAATGTTATTTATAAATTATTAACATTTAATATATGTAAAATTTCAAAATTATATATAATATAATATTTAATTTTATGTTTTATTAAAATATAACAATGTCTATTAATAATAATTAGTTTAAGTTTTATTGCATTCGTCTTATCGAGTTATTTGAAAAAAAATTCTCTAAAAAAAGTCAATTTGTTATCAACAAAACTTATAACTTAAGAGATCTAAGATCATTTTCTGACTTAGCAAAATCATATTATAAGACGAATCAATATAGATGATTGGTTATGATAACATGTAGTCTCTTAGATGAACTACTTTGTCTGTAAGACGAATGCATTTAATATTATATCATGTATGATGTCTAATAATCAAATCACATTTGTATATGATATTCCTTATCATATCAAAAGAAATAAAAAAAAACCTCTTTGGTGCTCGCACTTCAAAAAGGAAAGAAAACATGTTTTATGTTAGAGAAAGGACAATCAAATCTCTCGTAGCATGCAAAATCTAAAAAAAATCATTATTGACTAACACACCTAATAGTTCCTTCCGTTTAGTACCATAAAGGTGACAAGTAACCTCTTTGATTATATAAGAAGTGACAATTTGGTTAAATATATTTAATGCTCACAATTAATGCACTAACAAACATCTCTTCTCACAAGAAAGAAAGATGAAGACAAACAAAACAAATTTATGAGACATTCTCAAGGATTTACAATAGTCATCTTCAAGGCACCTATGTAAATAAATTTGAAGATTCATAAAGAAAAGAGAATCATCATTGTAAAAACTTTATATTTATTTTTTTTTGTAAAAAACTTTGTATTTAACTAAAAACATGAGTTCCATTTTCGTATTGAACAGGGAAATATCACTTTATTTTTATAGGAGTCAATCTAGTGAAAATTAGTTAATTTAATTTAATTTTACAAATCTTATTTAAAAAATATTTTTATAAATAATATTATTAAATGCTAGAGGAAAAATGACATCTCATGTCCCTTAATATTTATTTAAAAAATTAAATTAAAAGAAAATGATAATTATTACAAATTTTTTGAATTTTTATTTTTTTTTAACAATTAAAAGGTATAATGATCTAACAAAATTAAAAATAAAGTGTGATTACTGAAGTGGTATTTCTTATTTATATTAGAATACTTGATAAAACTTACTAACTTTACTTATATTTTGACCTGTTATACATTATTCTTTTTTTTAATTTTACTTATATTTGAATTCAAAATATAAAATAAGATTATTTTTAGTTATTAATATTTTATTTTTAAAATATTCAAATTTAAATTAAAAATGAATATCATAAATAGAAATTAAAATAAATAAACAAATAAAAAAAATTTCATTGAATAAAATTGTCTAAAAATGTTGTCTTAAAAATATTCTTATTCAAGATAATTATTCTTTTTTATATATAGATAAGTGATGTCATGAATATCCTATTTAAAATACTTTTCTAAACATATATATTTTTTATTGATTGAAATTTATTAAAAATAATAAAACTTAATAGATCTTACATCTTATTTCATAAATTTATCATAATTTTATGATTTTTAATAAATTTTAATTAATAATAAATTTGTAAAAAAAATAAAGAAGAATATATTACCAAAACTCTTTTAGTACAATCATATTTTTTCGTTAAATTCGTTCAGTTCATATATAATTTTTTGGTACGATTGTTACATTGAATCAAGTTTCATTTAAAATAATTAATTTTGGTCGTTAATAGGAACGTTCATAGAAAAGTATAACGTTATGGAAATTGTTTTTTTTCTTCCTAAAATGTAAACATTATGGAAATAAATATTGAATCGTAACAATCGCATTCATAGGAGAAAAAGGCACTCCTGACGTTAATATTTAATGCATACGAAATACAGATAAACTTGAATGCACGAACAATTAGTTAATGTACTGTCACTAATAAATTTATTTTTAGTTCATAAAAAATAGAGAAGTGAGAGGAATGGATTAGAGGGGATTTAAAAAAAAAAAAAATAATATAT